TCCAGATGAGTATGCGATGAGAATCGCTACTCAGACTGAATCTGCTCTCATCTGTAAAGAGTACTCGTCCCCATTCATTGTCTCTCCAATTCAGGTGTTCCCGGCACCACAGAGAACGCCTTCTCCGATGGGCAGGCATTAGAGGTACACACCGTGCAGGGCGTCGTGCAAACAGACCACCACCGTGCAGTCTTCTGGCCACGGTAAAACGCGATATCGGTCGTCCAGTCGCCTGTGTCGTGTGTGTAGCGATTTCTTCCGCTGTCTGCCGCCTGTTTCTTCTGGCCTGTAAGGCAATATACCGGTCATTTGCGGGTGTGATTCCTCGTGGACGACCACTACTAAACCCCCGGATAGCTGTTCCTGTAGTTTGAAATTGTCTCCAAAGTCGTGAAACGATGCTGTGAGCAATTCCGAACTCTGCAGCCACACTTGTCACACTGCGGCCTTCCTCCAATTTCCCAATGATTCGACCTCGGGTAAAAGCATCCAGATGTCGTCTAACAGATTGATTATTCGCCATTTCTCGCTGAGGCTGCAACTCGGTGTGATTTTAACTGCTATACGGCTGCAATCTCTTTGCCAGAAATACTGATCTTACACCGACAACATGCTTTATACTACTCAGACACTCCCCCATTACGTCTACCTGCATATCTGCGCATGTGCTACCGTACATCACCTTACTTAATCTCCTGATTGGTCTTTCTGTCCGCTCTACCTCTTCGTTCAGCTGATATGCTAATTTTTCGACTTCGTCCTTAATTTTTGCACACCAGTGTATGTCTACGACCAACGGTTGCGAAAATAAAGGGCAGGTAAGGACTTTTGTGGACACGGTAAGCTTTCCTTTAATCATTTAAAAGTAAGCAATGACATTGTTCTGTGCTGAGTCTAATACCAAAGCTACACACTGCTAAATATTTACGTACAATTTCCATATTAAAAAGGAAATCAAATATGCAAAATGTTCGTGGTTTTTATGCTTTGGATTGAAAATAAATCCACATAATATGAAACTGCAAGTTCAATATAAAAGAGTTATTAGACTTATAGTGATAAGCACAGCAATGCAGTGCCCATTTATGGCTAATTAAGCAAAAGCATCTAATTTATATATAAATACTGAATCAGAAAAATTTGCCTTGATTATTTTGTAAATTTATAGAACATTGGAGGTATTGCTATAAACTACGCTATTCTTCGGGGCTTTTGGTTTCTTTCGGAATTAAAGTGGTACCTGAGCAATGCATCTGTTTTGAGGTATGTCCAACTAGGTATATATGTTCTGTCTGAGCGAGGAATATTTTTTGGTATACGATACTTTATTGGAATATGATTTAAGTTTGATGAGTCACGACTTTGCGCAACCTTTTGAGACAATGCTTCGACTGCCCATGTCAGTAGGCCTGTTGCTACTAATCAGTAAACAGCCCGCGCTATAAATTTTGAAGTCAATTTTCTTTTTCCGCTTAATTGTTTTGTAAATTCATTAAGAGTGAGTTTTAGGAAAGTTATTGAGAAGAGTCAAGCAACGAAGAAAATTGTTAGGATCATCATGGAGGTGAAAAAAGTGATGAAAATTATGAAGATCGCATGTGTATTCGGGATTGGCTATTGCGTACTGTATGCCGAGTACGGTGGTGCCAAAGCTTTGGAAAACAAAAACGCTTATCGGCTAACGTGGCTAAAGAATGCTGAAACATTGAAATCAATTACCAAACAAAGATCGGAGACGTTAGAATATGCTGAAAAATTCCCTTTGATCTGGAAAACAGCAGTAGCCCCTTTGATGAAATGCACACAGTTACACAGAAGAGAAAGTTTTTCTCTTTAGCTTACTTCGGTCGTTCAGATTTAATTCTTTTTATATGAAGTTATCATCTACAAAATCAAAAGAACTGTGAACAGGATACGAAGAAAAAGGAATAACTACCGAGCAGAGTGTTATGATTCAAGAATAAGTTGTGAATGAAAATTTTCAAGTAATAAGACTGATCAGCCACATTTTTAGTATGAAACCTGCATTCAACAAAGGAGGGGGAGGCACAGTTCTTCATATGGATGGCACAGAGTTTTATTCTGAAAATCTAAGTACAAATATTTAAGCTGAATACAAATATTTGAAAATTTGCGTAAATTCCAACATTCAAGCTGAAGTCCAACTCAGTTTTATTGATTTTAGCATCTGTGTTTGTTCAAGCTAGAATATTTTTACATAAAGTAAATTATTTTAATACGAAAATATTCGCATTAAAGTACATAGAAAAATATTTTCTAGCTGAAAAGACACTGTTGAAAAAGTACTATCTACACCAGCCTGTGATAAAACAATGTCTCGTCTAAGTCAGTTCAAAAATATTATCCAGTGGATTTTTCTTTTTGAGGAATTTAAAAATTTAAAGCGGAAAAGATACATTGAATGTATTTGTTGCTCAGCTGACTTCATATGAAAATATTTTGTCTGAAAATGACCGACAGCATCACTACAGTGCAGGCGCATTTTTATGACTGGTACAATTAAATATATAGTTATATAAACATGGCAAAGCACACGAGGGCTGTCTAACGTCTTACAGCACAAGCAGTGTATTATCAGCATTCAAAGCAAAATTCATCATATGTCGTATTGGCTACCCATTACATCACGTTCGTGAATTTACTCGACCTAAATGCTGCAAACGGACCAAAATGAAAAAAAGCATTTCTTAAAACTCCCTACCAAATTCAGCAGCATACGAAATTGCCATTCCCTCCATATCTAATACTATGAGGAATATGCGTTAATGCAAAAGTATTTTGTGTGTATAGTTATTCAATAACCTGCAAGAGTATTTGAATCAATTTGGCGATTCAAAATCAGAAGCTGCAGCAAATGCCAGACGTCTAAGCTAAGATGAAGGAATTATTTTAGAGCTTCTTCTTTATATTAAAAATATAAGTATGCACCTTTAATTAAAATTAATGTGAAATATTACTGAATGCGTGATTTCTCCAAACAAAAAACCCTTAAATTTTCTTTTTGAAATGTTAAGTGTAATTGAATTTATTTCGTTTCAGCAATTAATGAAACAAAATGAAAGAAATCTGTATATTTAAAAATTTTTAAATAAATTTAAATTATTATAAAAAGGTTCTGTGCTTGCGTTTTATAAACTTTCTTATCCGCCAACTCGTAAATTCCTTTCCAACAAAAAAATTTGGACCCTAGTTATCAGAAATACACATTAATACACATTAGAGACACATTAGAATAATCGCTATAAGATCGTATAAGATATGTATTTGATATTTTGGAAGAAACAAAAACTAGTGACATGCATACACTTGAAGGATTTAGTCAGCAAGGATCGGTGGTATCTTCTTGGTGCATAACCAGAAGACCATGATAGGTTTAAAAAAAAAAAAAAAAAAAAAAAGTCATTGCATTTCATAGTATTTAGAACAAAATAGACTTTTAAAATCAATTAAAATACGTATTCATTAATCCTGAGATGAACAGACATATTAAATTCAGAAGATGAATCTAAATGTAACACAGGTAAAATCATAGAACATATTATCAAAATATACCAGATTACTTAACCAGATCCAATCAAATTAAGGAGACCAGCCTCTCTTAGATATTGAAATAAATTAAAACTGACTTCTTTTCCTCCTGAGAAAGCAAAAATTATGTCACTATTATTAAAATACTTCAGTTGAAATCTGTCAAAATATGAATCCTCTACTAAAAAGTGACGTATCAACAGCACAGCACTAAAATGTAAGCAAACATATTCTCTCTTGGCTTTTAAAATGTAATTGTGTATAAATTCAAGAGTGGCCGATTCTGAGATGAGTTAAAAGGACTTCCTCCTTCGGGGTTTTATTAATCACCCAGTATTCTATTTTGGGTTTTATGCTTCTCAATTATTCATTTGAATGCCCCAAAGTCGCTATTAATTGTTCACAATCTGGCGCTTGACAACAGTGCTAATATCTGTAATAGGGACGATCCGAGTGGATACTTAACAGCAAAGATAGAATTGGATGTTTGGCATAGTATAATTAAATTTTATACTATTTTATGCATATATATATATAGATAGATAGATAGATAGATGTCACAATTTAATGCGTATGAGGAATCAGCTTGGCAGTCGTCATGGCCGGGGTTGAAAGCGTAGAGACGGAAGATGACAAAATTGTTTTTTATATAAATCACCAATCTTTATTTTCACACATATATCCAAATAGTTTGGCAGACTATTCATTCATAATTAAATATGATAAATTTCTATGTACATTGATTTTTTTTTTTAAAGAAATGACGTAGGTGACGTAGAAATGACGTTGAGAAATGAAACAGCGCGGTGTTGGCAGAGCAGCAGTTAGGGAAGGAAAGAATGACGTAATTATAATTAACTCGCCAGCGGTATTTACTTGTGTACCAAAATAGATGTCGTCGTAGAGATAAGCTATGATTGGTTAATTTTAAGTTGTTATATAACATGGGAGAATCTCAAATTTAGGATAACGGATGAATTTAGGGGGATAACACTAAATTTAGAATAGTTAATTTTGAGGTCGCCAATTATTTTTAAAACAGCTATCGTATTTTGTTATATCTTACATATATGTATGTGTGTGTGTGGAATAATCACATATCGTAATAAAGCATCTTAGAAGTAATGAACAGCAGGAATTTTGATTGCTTAGAACATGCACTGCTGATCAAGAATGAAGAGCAAATTGGACAGCCGAGGCAGAATAAAATTCATCTTTATTTTAAAAATTATATTTCGGCCACAAACAAACACACTACTTATGGCTATTTCAAAATGTATACATTTTCAATAAGAAGAGAGGAGCAGCATAAGGAATTAAGGGGTTATTACTAGTTTAAATTATAATTTTGAGATTAATTTTTTTTTATCTTACATATATAAATTAACATTTCGTTGCAGTATCTCATAGTGATTTTTTTTTTTTTTTTTTTTTTTTTTTTTTTTTTTCAGATCAGCGGCTAGGAGATTTTGGAAATAATCAAGTCTAGTAACGTTTCATGAAACCTTGCAATGTGGGCTTTGCGCCCCACTTATTATGACAACAATGATATGCCCATTGATTTGCGCAAGAAAGTTGTACTTCAGAGAGACTTAGAAGAGCAAAAGGAATCCCGCAGGACGGAAAATGCCTATGCCCCGAAACAAAATTCTGCAAACAATTATCATGAGAGATGGCAACAGCCAACAGTGTTGCCAGTGGGCAATCTCTATCCTTTCATGTCCGAGAGGTATGGTGTAAGATGCTCACTAGTCAATTCCGAAGAGAACAAAGAAAAGCCCCATGAACTTAGATCTGGAAGCCGTGGAACTCTCGAAACAGCCATACGGAAGCTGCATCATAATAAATTCAAACAAGCAGTTGATAATCCAAGAGAAGAACGATGCAGGTATAAAATACATTTTTTTTAAGTTCAAGGATCATAAAAATTGCAAACTTGTTGATTTTTGTAAGAATATTTTTTTAATTATTTAATACTGCATATAATGATTTTTGAAGTGTGATAATTTTGAATACACAAATTATAATTAATACAATTGAATGTTTTACTAAAATTCCCTATACCAGAAGTTCTCAACCAGGGAAGAGAATTTATGGGACTTCAAAAGACTCGAAACAAGCTGCAGCGCGATTAAAATCGTGTGATCTAAAAAGAGTTGATAAAGATTCGTATAAAATGCAACGAAACCAATACCATGTTTCCAATTTATATTTATGAAATGTAATAATAATTTATACATTTGATATTTGTAATACATTTTATGTGTACTTTTATGGCACTAAATTACGAATATTTTTAATTTCACTCATTACTTTGAATCAGAAACACCTTCATCAAAGAATGACTTTCTAATCATGATGAGAAGAGGGTTAATAGTATGAAAAAAGTTTGAGAACCACTGCCACTGTTGAGGTTCTAAGACATTCTTCGAGTTGCATTACCTATCTGTTCAATTTCAAAATTTTTAACCTAAAAACTTATTTCAGGATTAATTAATCAAGACACAGAAAGCAAAAACTCATAAGCTACCTTTTTTAAATTTTTTTTTTATTGAGCCATCTGTAAAATTCTGCCCCCCCTTTTTTTAATGAAACAATTAAATGAGGAAATACAAAAACACCAGAAAATTTATTTGAATCGCATAAACAGCATTTTGCTCTACGACTTTTTGCATATTTTCACCATTTGAAAAATTCAATTAATTAAAGAAAATTATTCATAAAAAAATTATTTAGTTGTTTGACACTTTCCAAAGAAATAAACATTAACCATTCAGAGAATTCTGAAATGAACCGAAGAGATGAAAATCCAAGGATGTAAGGTATTGTGAATATGGATGGTGAAATAAAACATCCCAGCTGTATTCAGTAAGTCTTTGTCTGACGTTTATCGAAATGTGGAGTCGAACATTATCATGATGGAAGACAAAACCATGACACAGGGTCAGTTCTAAGCACTTTGCTTTGATTTCTGCTTTTAAAACTGCCATTTAAAAACAGTATTTTTCTTCAGATACAAACGATTTTGTTGTTACTGGAATTGGTTCATTTGGCTTACTCTATGACCTTTTCTTGTAGCAGTATTATAGAGTATTTGTTTCTTATATTCAGTAAGCCATTTCAACAAAGGAGCTTCTTTATTTCTTTTCAATAAACAACCATGGGCAAGATTCGAGCAAGTGGTATTCTGCTCTGTTAAAATATAGGGTACTTACTCAGTCTTTTTGAAATATATAGTCTATTTGATAATTCCTGAATTTGGAATATACAGTCTGTTTGATAATTCCTAAACTGTATAACGTGGATTTTCAGTGATAGCTTCTTTTAATAGACTCTTATCTACAGAGAATTGGCATCCAGGTTAGTCATCAATTTCAAGGCTGAAATTTTTGTACTTCTTGTGCAGTCTGCACTCCCCCCTTTTTTAAAAAATAAAAGGAGCATTATATGATTAAAATGAATTTTTGGGTTCTTTATTCTTAGCACTGCACCGAAACAAAAATTATGCCACAACACATGCTAGAATTATGCACTGCGAACTGAAAAGAGCGTATTTAAACTTCTGCTGTGATCGCGGTCCTAATCAGCAGTAATAAAATAACTAGGAAAAAACGCATTTCAATTTGAGAAATTGCAGACCCTATTTATCCCAAAAGGTATTAGATTTTACTTAAGTACTATTTATCAACTAATTTTCTAAAATATTTTTGGAATTTAAAACAAAATATTTCATTTGTACTTTTGTTTTTCTAAAATCATTATTATTATTGGTGCTATTATTACAGGAAATACAGTTCTTAATTCTTGTATTCCAAAAATGAATGAAATTTAGAAATGTAATAAATGTAAATAATATGCGTAACAATTTGATAGCAGGGCAGTTTCTTCTGACTATAAGCAGAGAAATTCTTATAAATTTTTATGCATATTTTAAATTTTTATACAGATAATTATTGCTACTGATTTTATTCCAAACAGACTTATGTCCAGTAGTCATAAGTCTGTTTGGAGTGTTCTTTTGTGTCTTATATGTCACTATCAAAAGACATGAGACTTAAATTAAGCATTTTACATAAGAGAACATGTATGAGTGCATACATGAGATACATGATAATGATCTGCTTTATTCTTTTAGATCTACCGGTGCACTGGACAACCAAGAAAAGAACAAGAGACTTCGCAGATCAAATAGTTGTCCGGACCTGGCTAATTTTAAATTGAAAACACCTCAAAGCCAGTATGTGCTTGATTATACCGAGAGGACTGTTTCTTCAGAACAGAAGATTAATTCAGTAAACAATATACATCAGATACATGACATTCATGTCAATACACCAATAATTGGTGGTGCTAAAAAGAGAAAATCATTTGTACCTATTTATGGTGATAGTAGAGAACCTTCACCAAAAAAACTGCCAAAATCACCCACTGAGCACTCACCTTATGAAGAATATTCGTCTCATACAGAGGTTCTGCTGAGGAGACAGTTACAACAACAGAGTACTCCACCATATCTATTGCATGTATACGACTACTATCAGCAGCTAGTTCAGCGACTTCGTGAGCATTCTTCTACAGCTGTTCATTTACATCCACCAATCTCACCAACTCCAGCTGATGATGATTTGCCTTCTGATGCTCAAAGGAAAAGACCATGCCGTGCCTTAACAGGAAAGCATGTAAGGCAGGGTACAGGGGCCAGCATTTCTACACTTCTTACTTTACGGCAAAAAATTCAAGAGAGACAAAAAGCCAAAGAACATCAACCAAGAAATGTTCTCAATGGCACTAATAAAAACATATGTGCAAAAAAGAATAACCCCAAAAAACCAAAACAAAATGTTAAAAGCACGTTAAACAAAATTCAAAACTGTTAAGATGTTACTTTTTTATTGTGTTTGAAATCATAATTTGTTGACGATGCCAATTACATTCTAACACTCTGAATCTTTCTAGGGTCCTTCAAAAAAAAAAAAAAAAAAAAAAAAAAAAAAAAATCATTTTGTGGACTATTATAGGAAAACTAGTGATAATGTAATGAAATAAAGTTATTTCATGCTTTCATACATGGTTAATTATGTATGAAAAACCACCTTATGCTTCAAGATGTAAATAAGCATCCAAAATATAAGTGTTCTTTCGCATACCAGCTGCAGCATAAAAGTCTACAAAATGATATTTTAAATGTTAATATTAACCATGAAAACTTCATGATTGAAAATTTGAATTGTGTTGTCTTAACACTGTGAGTGGCATGGCTTTTTGAATCTGCTCATGAAGACCAAACAACATGTATTAGCTAAATTTTTATAATTACTTATTTATCTGTTTCACAAACTTCCATTCTTACATCATTAAAGGAAGCAAGGGAAAAAATGTATATAATTATAAGCTAATAAAGTGAAAAAAAATCTCATGCCACTCAGGGGTTAATTTAGATATAAGCTATTGTAATAGTTAAAAATTCTTTTAAAAAATACTTCAGAGAAGCAGTACAAGTGACAGTTCTATAATATATATCTATATTTTAGTTTTGTCACATGACATTAAAGTGATTATACTTTTTAGATTTGTTGGACATACATACAAGAAGATATTTTAAATATTAGCATGTAAATTTTTAACATGAAAATTAATATGAAGCTATTGTCTGCAAATGTTTTTAGATTCTTAAATTATTTCTCTGCGTTTAAAAAAATTAATTAAATGTTTTTATTTGAATTTTTACGCTGCAATTGCAAAAATTTTTTTGAGTGTAATTAAAGAAAACTTATTCAGTTTTTTTCAGAACATGTATTGAAACACAATCCAAAACTTTCAAAACATTGGAGTTTTCTGAAGTGATCATAGATATTAATAAGCTTAAATAAAATATGTTAACTCTCCTGTTATTTTAAATAGTTTACTATTCATGTCTGTTTATTTTCATAATGAAATCAATGTATATTTACTTTTTTGGTTTTTGCTTCTTTCATTGTTTAATCTTAATATGTCAGTGTTAAAATTTTTAAATGACCAAATTTGTAAACCCTATTTTTATTCTTAATATTTTAGCTGTAAATTTCCTCCCAATTTGAAGATATTTTCTAAAGATATGTCCCAAAGGATTTAAGATATTTTCAACACTTAATCCTCTGAGCAGCAGCATTTTTCTTTAGGGCCACTCATGATGTTACTTAACTTTCAATATGTTTATATAATAATTCACTTTACTCTTTATTTTAATAACTTATAAATCATTAAAGGAATAAAATATTTAAAAGAAAAATATATCCTACAATAAAAATTATTGTGATCAGATAAAAGCAATTACACTGCTCAAGAGGTTAAATTAATAACATAAATAATAATAATATGCAGTATGTAAGGTGTTCCATAAGCCATTCATCATGGGATAATCAGCAGGTTTCCAAGACATTGTCTAGGTTGTCAGAAGAGTGTTAAGTGATGTACCTTTTATAACCTGACTTGGTAATATGTTATTTTTCCCTTATATATATAATTGTTAGTTTATGCTGAGAAGATTATTTGTCTGCAATATCTGAAAGAAAGGATCCATCATGTGTGTGATCAGGTTGATCCTTAATAAGGAATACACTTTTGAAATGGCACCACCATTTGGATCAGTGTTTAAAAGCAAGGCGAACAATTTTCAAGATATTCTATATTCCCAATGATGCTGGACTTATGAAACATACTGAATTTTAAATCTGTTTATAAACTATAGTATTTGTACTATTTTTATGATAAAAGTTAATGAGCTTCAAAATTTTTTTAATTCAGAAAAATCATATTGTGTACATTGAGATTATTTTAAATTGTTGTTTTTATGCTTAGAACAAGTAAGCATTCAGTCTAAGTTAGATCCTAAGAATGAATTGCATGTAATAATTTTAATAGGAAAATGATATTCAGCCAGAATATATCTATTATGCAAATTCCAAATATATTGCTTATTGCTGTACCTCATATTTCAGTACTGTGTTATGAAAATCAGCTGCAGATCACCCATCAATCCAAATATGGAATTGTCTTTGTAAAAGCAGAGAAGATTATATTAACAACTGTGCTCTATTTATTCAAACTTATGTTTTCAAATGCACTCTGGTCCCAAAACCTTGGCATGGAACTTTTTAAATGAGAACATGTAAAATCATGAAGTGGGAGATTTTACAAAAAACTTTTTTATGAAATTATGGAATAAAATCAGATGCCAGTTTAAACTTTTATATTTCAGAAAAGATACTGAAAAGATTTTGTACTTTTGTATTTTTGCTATGGTCACATTTTGTGCATTTATATATATGGCAGGAAAAAATGTCTTCCTGATTCATTATGTTGTACTGTGAATTTTCAAATGTAATATTTATTTTTTTAAGGAAGAACAAATATTTTCATATCTATTTATTGATCATTTGGAAACCAATGGCTTTTCAGACTGTTGCTTAAGACATTTACAGCAAAAAGAATTTTTCTGTCTATAAACTGATTGCAAATGTGAAACAGTCTGAGTTGATATGGCCATTTTATTTATAGTATTCATATTGTGATTTTACCTCATGCACTCTGAAATCATTCCAGCATCAAGCTATTTATATCACTGCATTTATAAAATATAACATTCCTGCTTATAAGTAAATAAACATACCATACATACATACTATGTTGTATTTTCTTTGTACAGCATACATATTTCATAAAGATAAAACTCCATAAATTCTAAAAAGTAGTATTATAAATTACTTGAAAATTTTGATTATATACATATATGGGTGTTTTACAAATTTTTTAGCAGCATAGTTATATACATATATATCAGAGGTGCCCATAGCATGGCTTGGGCAAGTGGTGCGGCGTATACCAGTAAAATAAATTAGTACACATATCAAATATCGTAAACTAAAAATTATCAATTTCTAAATGAAAGTAATTACTTTATTTCATTTCTTTTTACAAAGTTATCAGTCAACTTAAACTGAACCATGTCCAAATGTAATTATTTTGTTTCATCTCATTAGTTAAAAAAACTTAATATTATTATTCAAAACATAGAAAAGATAAATAAATAAATATAAATATTGTACTGATTCTATCAAACAATTTAGTAAAAAAAAATTTTAAAAGTTAGATTTGCATGTGGATGCTTTACAAGTAGGATCTGCCTAATTTTTTAATCATTAGTAGTGGTAAAAATTACACTGAGGTGATCTGTGAAGGGAATAGAAAATGCACGAAATACATCAGAAAAATTTAATCATACATAATTTAATAAAAAGGTTAAAAATAATGTAGTTGATTCTACATCCACATTGACTGAAAATTTTATGGTAGTTGGAAGCCTTGGGGACTTCTAATCTGATGACAGTAACAACATAGAAAACGATGTTGCCTTTAGAAAATATCAAGAATCTTTAAAATTTGAGGAGAACAGAAAAAAATATTTAGATTGCTTGCTGTGGAAGGAGTACAGGGATAATTTTGAAGTAGCAAAAAAACAAGTTGTTGTGGTGCAGATTTAAGAAAAATCCAAAGTTCATGAGCATTATAAGGATATGACGGATCAACATTTACAAGAAGATATTGCAGAAGAATGAAAGTATTTAAAAACTGAAAAAGAATTTTTTTTTAAATTGTATCAAGCTGTAATTGGAGAAAACAGAGACATATTGATACATCATCACATGAAGGCAAACAGTCATTGAATGGTTATTTAGAATCTCCTGTTTCTTTCCATTTGAAATCTGTTTCTGTACTTTTAAAATGATGTAAATGTGCATTTGTGACTTTCGGAAAATCTAGTTGTTGCCCTCACTCATTCCTGAATTCCAACATGCAGCTCTTACTGGCATGAAGTTTGGTCACTTCTGTTATATATAATACTGGATCACCAGTAATTTTGTTATATTTTAGGATAATCTAAATGTCTCTTTAGAAATTTTTCATAAATTTTAGAAATTTTTCATTTTTCATACCTTCCCAGATAATAAACAATTTAGAAAAAATATTTGCTTTTAACAATTAAATTCATATTTTCAAATTTCATATTACTGATTGCAAATGATCAGATTTGAGTTTAATACTTAATTATTATTTCTGGGAATTTTTGTACTATCAATATACCTCATACCAATATATTGCTTAAAAATCACTAACCACCCATAAATTACTTTGAAAGCTATATCATGGAATTAGTATCTCAAATATTTAAAATTTCTTGTGAAAATTTAGTGCTTGATGCCGTCACTTTAATGCTTTCCGAGTGCAGTAAAACATATACACTTCAAAGCTTATATAAAATGCACTAAAAGTAGTCTTTAGAAAATGCACTAAAAAGTAATCTTATTAGCAAATACAACAGTTTTTATTTAAAGGATTTTTAAATCCATTAAAATTTTAATTTGAAAAGTTTTGAATAATTTTTAAAATTGACAATAATTTTAAACAAAGTGAATGTAATCATTCTTATACATGACGTTCTATAGTATGTTCCTTAAAATTTTGCTACTATCCCAGGACAGCACATTTATGGGCACACTATAATTTAATTCTAGTCACATATGACTAAAATTATTGTAACAGCCAAAAAAATTATTTTATACTTTTTTACTCGTATAAGGTGATAAAAAGAGAAAATCACTGCCTCTGTATGTAGGAAAATTATTCCACCAGCACAGCAAAGTACATGATGACACTTTTCACATGACTTTGAAAGAAAGGTGATTTAAAATCACATTGTTTCTTTTAAAGTTTCCAGCCATTTTTAATAATCTATGAAATTTTAAAAGATTCTAACAGTAAATTTCATATTAGAATTTAAATATATCAGACATACAATTATCCGCCCCCCAAAAAATCTATTTTGGGAAAACTGCCAAAAAATTGGGGAATTATTTTAGAGATTTGAAATAACTTCGAAGAATTATTTGGAGGATTATTTTCTGATCTATTTGGCGGTGTAAAGATTAAACCTCTCATTTGATTATTTTCAAATGCAAGTCAGCATAGGGCCTGCGAGCTTCTCAGAATGATCATAAAAATGATCAAACTCTGAAAACTAAAACTCGTATTATATAAATACATGATTATTACTTATGTGATACCTTAAGTAGATGTACCTTACTATATTGTATATGAATAAAAGTTGTAAACACATAATTTGTAAAATAACAGTTTAAAACACATTAAAAAAATGAATAAAACTCAACAAATGATATGTGCATCATAAAACTGAAAATAATGCATACAGGAAACAAACTTTGGTTAAAATGTATTCAAAATACTCTTAACTTAAAACTAAATTAAGTTATAAAATTAAATCTATTGGAGATACAATTTTCCCCCTCCCTAAAAACATCTGTTTTGGGAAATCTAGGCATGCAGAGAGTAAGACCAGTAGCATATGCAATTACATTTTTGAAAGTATGGTATAAATAGTTTGATGATAAACTTGAAAATTACCAATTTGAGAAAATCCAGTTTTCAAGATCAGTATCACATTTCCCTAATTTATAGTTTTTGTTATACATTTAAAATGCACCAGAAGCATAAACTGTTCCTTCTTTTTGTTTATGCTGTTCATATTCTTCCTTTATTTTCCTTTCTTTTAGCAAGTCAAGCCTCTAAATATTGCCATGGGCTGGTTTTTCTATCTGCCTTCTCAGCAGTTAACACCAGGTACACAATCTGATTCTTTCATGCTGCATAGCACTGCTTGTTTCCCGCCATTAAAGTCAGCTGTTGCTAAATTTATAGAAACTTACAATTACTTAACAATTTTTCTAGTATTATTTGTTGTTTTGGAACAAAATGTCCAGCACAATGAATTTAATAACTCATTCACATTTTGTGTCCAACCATCAATACATCTTTCGACTAAATCTGGAGAGACAGTTCTTTAAATATTCTAAAGGAATTGAATTCATATGTTTAAAGGTTTTGTTTGTGCCATTTACAACAGCTCTTTTTTATGCACACAGAGAACTGATACCCATTTAGGCAAAAATCATCATCATTTGACCTTTTATGGTCCAAATAGCTCATATAGCTTTTTTTATATCATGGTAATTTTTAAAATGCTACCTAATGGCATTATTGTAATATTTGATTAGGTGATCTATCAACGTAACTGTGAGTCAAACTTTACCACTCAGAAGTTTCTTATTGTACAGCTTTCCCTCCCTCTCCCAGAATTCCTGTTTTATTTTCCTCAAACCAGCACCTATTCTCTTTTTAATGTGGCCCATACATTCTGAAAATAAAACTTTTTAAGGCCCCCTTTTAAGCAAGGTTATAAAGAAAATAGTCTATTATTTCCCCCCCCAGGATAAAGAAAACTATTAAATATAAAAGAAATGCTCTGAAATATTGTTTATGCAATCACTGAAAATAAGTATGTGTGTAACATTTCAAGAAGAACAAACAAGGTTCAATTTGAAATTCAAATTTTAATTTTCCTAAATTTTCTGTTTTTCCATGATATAATGAAAAAATTTTTCCTAGACCAAATGCAATAAGTTAATTATTCATTTAATGTCAATAATTACATAATTTTAAAAATTTATTGTAAAATTTAATGCAATAATTGAGAACATTATAAATTCAATTTATCTTACTTATTAGTACAAAGAAAGTGAAAGAAATATATATCAGAAATCTGCATCTAAACCATTAAAAAAAAAAAAAAAGCAAAGTTTTTTTTTTTTAAAAAAAGAACCACACTCTGAGGAAAACCTGATCATACTGCAAAATAAATTTATAATAAATTGTTTGAGGCTTCAAATAAAACTGAGGAGTTTGCAGTTACAATGGATTAACAAAGTGCTTAATTATTAACAGAGTTATTTATTATAATATACGTCCACATAATGCACTGGCTTCTTAACTGCAATGTTTATTTTTGAAGGACAACTGCACTTCTAAAGAAAGGCACAATAATACAATTACGATTCTAAAAGACTGAAAAACAGCTCTCTAATAGGTGGAACAGAGAACTATGTGTGATAAAATTATATTAGATATGATAAAGATAAAATAATTTTATTAAGAAAAGCAGATTAGAGTAACTCTTTACTTGCTTTGTTTTTCAGAAGAGGTGTTTCTTTTTGGGGGGGTACAATTCTGCTGTATCCTGTGCTAATGTCCTTCTGACCATACTAGGCTGGACGTGAGTTATTGCTTGGTCTTAAAAATATCACTAAGATTTAAGGATGTAAAAATAACTTTTTTTATTTACTGTACATTTTTGTGCATAAGTCAAGAATTTTTTGAACTGTCTTTTATATATGGATCCGCTAATCTCGCAAAAAAAAAAAAAAAATGTAGTTATGTTTCCATTAATCGGAAACAGGTGATAAATTGCCAAATACCGCACTTTCTCTAAATCTTTTATTTATATTTCTTAAGTTTACGAAAAAAAACTGATTTCAAATGAAATGAGTTATTTTATTTTTGAAACTGCTTATATTGCTGGCAACTTTTCTCCCATCTCGAATTTGTTTTTCCTTTTCGGAGTAGTGCAAAGCAGCTATACCATTATTAGACTTTTCAGCAAGTGCAATACCAGTTAAAAAATTAATTTCATTAAACCCGAGATTTTCAAAAAACGAGGAAGGAGGCTTAAGCAATAAAACTGATAGTTTACTAATAAGCCAAATTCTTTCACTAAATCTTTTACTGTTATGAAGATTGTTAAAAACCTGAATTACTGTTACAAAAATTAATAAACGAGAAGAAACAAATATTCTCTAAAAAAAAAGAAATAAAATTTTTTTATTAATTGCATAAAATATACATAATTTTACATTCAGTAGAAAAAATTAAGAAAAACTTAATAAGCAATATATAAAATTATATTCTCTCTCACCTGTTACATATCTCATCTATAAACATAACATCATCTTAAAAATAAATAAATTATTTTATCATAGCACAGCGAAAACCAGCAAATAGAGTACTTAGCTTTAAAACCAAAATTACAATGACAATAATAAGAGAATGTATATATCCAAATTCCTAAACAAAATGCAGAAAGGAACAGGATTGTATATATGCAGTTCACACAAGATGACCAATATCATATGACCCATCAACCTATAAAAAAAGCAGTATTATCAAAAATTAACAGTTAAATTGTAGTGTTAGTATAATTTTTCATGTAAATATTTCCTACTTTTAACCAAATAATATTGCATAATTTAATACAAATAGTATTTTAAGAGGAGGAAAATATATTACGCACTAAATTTTAAAACTATACTTACTTGTAGGAAAAAAATGAAATAACTTTTATTTTCCTAAAAAAAAAAAAAAAAAAAAAAAAGATTTTTTTCAGGCGTACCAATATAGTGGATTAAGGCCTACACTTAAATTCTATTACCATAATTCTTAGTTATTTTTGCCGATAGATGACATTGCCACCTCGCGCATGGTACTACCGGAGGGTATAAAAAGCCATTACAGAGGTTGCTTTCCCTTTATTCAAGGTTCAGACTTTTCGCGTGAAGGTGCAGTTCCCCCCCCCATTTTAGTCTATGTGTTATATGTCTGATCAGATAGCCTGGCTCAGTAAAAATATTCGGCTAGTGTAACTCTGATTAAAAATCCGGTTACGACCACATGCAGTGCTGATAACGACCACGTGTTTCAGAGACTCCTTTGCCGATGCTTTATTCTTCTTTTTTCTCCTTTCTAGAAATTTCGTTCTTCTGATGAGGAGGGACCTTTAGCTGCCCTCGAAATCGATTGAGTGTTTTAATATATGTACGCTAAATACAAGGTTGTTATTGCGATTTCGATTGTCACACTGGCGTGTTTCTCTTCTATTCTACATGTGTATATGTTTATATATATGAGGGAGTCAGAGTCTTTAAGTTTAAAGAAGTCAGTCATTTTCCCTACTGATTCCACAGCCCTGGTTAGAATGTAATATTCAAATTTTTACAATATATATTATACACTGGCATACATATAAATTTAAGAATTATTTTTAATCAATCCAGATTCATATGTGGATTAATAATTGCTACAAATCTACATTTTCAGCAAAATCTCCAATTCCCTGAATTGCAGACTTAAAATGTTACTGAATGTATGCAAATAAAATAATGTCCAACATTGCAACCTATTAAAAATAGTACCAGGTATCAGTTTATTAAAAAAAAATCCCATATTTCTATTGCCTAATGTTTGTCATAAAGCATAAAACACCCAAATAGTGAGTAAACTGATTATTTATATTTGCTTATATAAAATGTACATTAGAAGCTTGCTTTGAAATAGTGTTTGACTCATCAGTCTAATAAAAAATGTATTAAAAACATAAGGTCTACCAAAAAGTTCTGTCCAATGTTATTTTAACCAATGTTTCAACAACCAATTTTGTCCAATGTTTCAACATGGATGCACATGTTCATTTGAGACATATAAAGCTGTCTCTCTTTACCATTTCCTTTACACACATGTGCTTTTCTAAATTAACTGAAACAAAAGTATCTCATATCATTATTGTGTCAGACACAATTATGTAAACATGGATATTAATAAATTTCATTTACAACATTGTATTTTGTACAAATTTCAAAAAGGAAAAAACTGCTACAGAAGTGTATCAAGATTTAGTGAAAGGTTTTGGCAGAGATGAAGTTTTCAAGAGAACATGCAGGAGATTATTCGAAAAATTTAAAGGAGGTGATTTCAATCTTAATGATAAGCCACACTCTTAGTGGCCTTCTCTGATTCATGATGATATTAATAAGACCATGATAGAGGAAATATTTTTTCTGGTCATATCAGAGATTACAGAAAAGCTTAACTCAGCTCAACAAACCATTCTAAATCATGTTTGGAAACTAGGATTGGTCTATAAATATTTCAGATGGGTGCCTCATTAGTTAGGTTAAAAAAATTGAGGGGTTCGAGTTGTCATATGCACATCTTTCTTTGCTCGGGACAAAAATAAACCCTTCTTGGACTGGATAATAATTGGATTACCTATGAAAACATCAATTGGAAAAGTGTCAAAGTGGCCCATCCACCTCTAAACTCAGCTTGAACCTGAATAAGATGATGCTGTGTATATGTTGGAATACATAAGGACCAACACATTATTAGCTTTTGAGACCTAATAAGAAGCTCAATTCAGAGAAATACTGTCAGAAAATGGATGATTTAAAGAAAGCAGTTAAAGAAACGAGGCTGGTGATGTTCAATAGGAAGCACACCCTACTGCATCATGGTAATGCCAGACCACATGCTGCTTTGGTGGCTCGTCAGAAAATTGCACAGCTAGGCTGAGAAATTCTGCTGTATCCACCATAGTTCCCAGATCTACGACCCTCCAATTATCACTTATTTCTTTCCTTGCAAAATCCTTTGAATTGCAAAAAATTCAAAATTGAAGCAGATGTCAGTTAAATACTACTTAGGCTCTTTACCTCTAAAGGCAAGACATTTTTCAAAAGTGGTACTTACAAATTACCCTCAAGCTGGCAAGAGGTCATAAGTAATAATGGAAATTATATTGTATAATAAATATTATTTAATGTGTAAAAAATGTATTATTTTCTGTCACTTCTCAGATGGACAGAATTTTCTGGTAGATCTTACATTTGTTCATGTAAATATTTCACACATATTCTTACATAAAGAAATATACTATAAGATAAATGAAACAGATGAAGAAGTATGATATTCTAAATACATTCATATAAAGTTTCAACCAAGATATTTCTAATTTTAAGATAAAGATAGTCCACACAGGTAAGTTACCTCAAACCTGCCAACAGCAGCACCAGTTGCTTGCTTATTTCGCATTATTTCTGATACTATCGATATATATCTTGATTTGGAACTCATAACAGCTTCAAAACTTTCCTGAAAAGAAAATTATTAAAAAAAAGCAGTTTATTATATATTCTTCCACTAAAATTTCTGATTTTAAATATGGCTGCACACACACACACAAAAGTGCAAACATTTTACTAATTTACTGAACACAATACACAACAAATGAAATATTTATTCTAACAATGAAAAGAATGAATAAATAATGAAATATTTATTCTAACAATGAAATGAATGAATAAAAAATAAAATTTGATTGGCTGTATATTATTCTAAAACTATGCAAAGTTTAAGAAAAGATATAAATTTCTTTTATGAGTTAAAAATTATTCTTTTGATCTCAGAGTTGCAAAAATAAGAGTAAAATAAAAATAAAATGATAAATGCTATGTCAGGAGTGGTTTTAAAAAACACTACTACTTAAATAGGCAAAAGAATGATAAAACTGTAATAATTTCACTTCCTCCCAGTTTTACTTTAACACATTTTGAAAAATAATTTTTCAGCCTTAATTATAATTTATTTATCAAGAAAAATGCATTTATTATGAATTAATTTTTATAAATTATTATAAATAATATTAATATTTATTATTCATCGTAAAATTTCAGATGCTAATTATTTGATATAAGTCTTCATCAAATTCAATGCATGATACAATTCAGCATAAAGACTTTTCTAATTTAAGTACTTCTTCTTAAGTTGACGCTTTTCACAACTTAAAAAACCTACAAAGTAAATCCAAGCCTGTCATTATTACAGTGCTGAATTTCTATAATGTATAAGTGATAAAAATAAAACAAAGTAATATTATAAACTATATATACAATCTTTTAAAAACCATCCGTAAATAATGAATCAAACATAATTTTTAAAATAATAATCTTTAGAAACATATCATCTACATGCTATATATTATCTTACTAAAAAGGGAATGGTAATAGTTTGCAACAGTTCTTACAGGTTCTGATATGACAGGTTTAGTTTCAATTTTTCTTGATGATGATGCTGAATGGACACTTGCTACTTGCTTTCCATCCTTAAAAATAAATAAATAAGATGAAATCTTGCTTTTAAAAATAATCTGTAAATAATGAATCAAACAAAATTATTGGTGATAATTTCAATATTTACAGATAGGTATTCAATTATTTGAAATCATGTAAACAGTTAAAAAGGGGGGAAATAACTTTCAGTTTGGGACTGAGTGTCATACATGGTGCAAAAAAATTTTTAAAAAGTATTTTTTAAAACAATAAAAAAAAAGGAAAAAAAATTAGAATTTCCAATACACAGTCTCACATGTTGGAGATAGAAATGTTCTTTCTTGTACAGTGCCGCCATTGTTCGCTTTGAAATTGTTGAGTTTCTTAATCAAAAACTCATAAATGCTTTACAAAATATGAAATAGATAATAAAACAAATTCCAAATTTGGGCTTTCACATGCCCATATTTGGGTGAAAGATTATGTTATTCAAAATTTGATGGCTCTAGGTACCGTTGTTTATCATAATGCGAGAAACATACATACATTTATGCAGAGTCTTCATTATTTATTTTCTTTAAATATAAGAACATTCAAAGGGGCAATAATATTTGGCGGCAACAATTTGAAAAGTGAACACCATTTTACTAATTTATAGTCAAAAGTCGTTAATTCGGACACCCATAATCCGGAATGATCTATAATCCGGACTTCAAAGCTAAAAACTTTCTGCGCATGCGCCGCATTGACATGTGCGCATAGGCGTTTACGCGTGCGCGTAAGACCTTTTACGAGTGCGCATAAGACCTTTTACGACTGCGCATATGCGTTTGCGCAAGCGCAGAATACGTTTTCGCGTGCGCGTTTTATGTATAACGGACGGTATAAGCTAAAATTATGTAATTATCTATTTCAGTTAATGTTGATGATTGCGTTGTTCCTTAATTTTCGAATTGGATCCGACTTATTATTTTTTGCAGACTGTAAGAGCAATACTATAAAAGTAAACTTGAACTTTCGATTATGTCGAATAGAATTTCCGATTCTGGAGCTCCCAAAGGATCATACAAAACGAAAGTATGTTTCGATGTCCATCAAACAAAAAGTGGAATTGCTGCAAAAAAATTGATAAAGACATGAAGAATGTGACAGAGAGGTTAGTGAAAATGAAAAAATTTCGATTGACAAGTTAGTCGGTATTCTCGGCACAGCAATTAACAGGACTTGAACAGCGGAACTTTGTAACTGAACAAGAAATTATGTCTGTTTATAGAATTAAAGAGAAAGTATTATCACATAAAACGAAGCAACTTAAACAACTTACATTGAAAGAAATGTTTAATAAAGTAAACAAATAAATATTAAGCTTTTTTTTTTGCAAATTTTGATACCCTTTAGATCATAATTGTTCTTTATTTCATAAATTACGGTTTCATATTTTTAATTTTAGAATTTCTGCATGCCATCTTACGAGATTTAAACTGATGATCTATAATCCGGAAAAATCGATAATCCGGAATCGCCGAGGTCCCGACGAGTCCGGATTAACAACTTTTGACTGTATAATAAAATGCCACAAAAAGCAAAAATGAAATTAATCACCCTTCTGGGCTAATACCCTTTGAACTAATAATGAAAGGAAAATGCATCTTGTAATAACCACATTGCATAGGCAGGGGAATTTTTATACATAGAAAATAAATTTAAACATGAAATTTCTATGATGGACAGCACTTTGAAAATTCAGAAAAGGAAGAATATATTAAGAATGTACATTTCAGTAGGAAGTATTTACCATAACGTCTGCCATAATTTGGGATACACATCGACTGAGCTACAAAGCCTGTGACAGAAGAATACAGCTTGGTGGAAGCAAATATATTTCAAGGTTAAGACCTCTTTTTAGTTTCCCTTACATGGAAAGTCTCCATAAATACACTTTCACTCCTCCCTCAACCAACCAAAAATCCACTGACGTTAAGTAAGAAGTTTATGGAAGCCACTACATTTTGAATTATCTATTAAACCATTCTTTCTTTGCAACCCAGACAAGATAGTGGTGAGATAGTGATTACTGTACCAACAGTGGCATACCTAGGGAGGGGCAAGGGGTGCTACAAGCATCCAGGGGTGCTAGACTGATGTTATGAAATTTTAGAATGAAACATTTTTCAATCCTGGCACACAGAAAGCGGCGCAAGATCTTCAGTTGTCCTCAGGCACTGAAAAACCCGAGCAAGAAAGACAGGTTGTCTTTTAAAATATTTATTTTGAAAACTTAATAAGAAATTCTTGAATAAATATTAAAATAATTGAATCATTTCAGCCATAATTCATACAAAGGCCGCTGACATGGCAACGGCGCTAGAATGCATCTTGCTTTCACTCGTTTACAGCATCAAAAGCATTTTACACAAAGCTCTCTCCTCGTTTTGTTAAAAACCTAGAAAGAGAATAATTAGTCTCTTATGTCTGGAAACCACACTAGGGAGGTTTCCGCTGCACCTTTCTTCCAAAAGTCTGCTGTCCATTCTGTCGCTGTGAAAAAGATAGTTCTCATTAAGCACCCGGAAGTCCAAGGGGTGCATATGTCTGAACGTCACAACTCCTACCCTCCCCAGGAGTGGGTGAAGGAGTTCAGAACTCCAAATCCTAGTACCTTATCACAGCAAGTCTTAATACATTATGAACGGGGCAGGTATTTGTACCCGTTGCGAAGATTGCCACTTATAAGCGGGGCAGGTATTTGTACCCGTTGCAAGGATTGCCACTTATAAGCGGGACAGGTATTAGTACCCGTTTAAAATAAGTAATTTTAAGTAACACAAGGGAAAAATAATTTTTATCAAATATATGACTACGTCTCAAAGAACGTAAAGTGAGATTGAAAACATTCCGTCTATCTATATTTTAACCAATAATATTCTTCGCAGCTATGTGTTTCCACAAATTCGTTTTATGCGATGTTGTATGTTTGTAGTCTATTAGTAGAGCAGCTCGTAGAAAGAGATACATGTAACGTTGATATTGTGTAGGCGGTTGATACCACCTTCAATTCAAAGACAATGGATTCTAATAGTGATAGTGATGTATATGCAGATGACTTGTCGCAGATTTCAAGTGATGCGGAATTTCCTGATTGAGACAGTGAAAGTGATTAGGAATTATTTCGACCTAGAAGAAATCGAGTTTTGCCAATATCATCATCTAGCGACTCCGAAGACAGTGATGACGAAGTCAACAACATATGTCAAAGTCAACAACAACAATGGTCAACAACTGATATTGTACCAATTATTGAACAATTCCTCGGACAAAGTGGAGTTTTTGTAATGCCAGATAATTCAGAAAGTGTAATAGATGTGGTTAAGCTATTTATTGGAGATGACTTATTTGAATATATGGCAACGGAAACCAATCGGTATCGCGAACAAAACCCAGATGCATTTCGAGACAGAGCAAAATCTGTGAAGTGGAAGGATGTGAATGTGATGGATTTAAAAAAAAAATGCTCGGACTACTTCTCCTAATGGGACGAGTTCGTAAAGATACAAGAGACGAATATTGGTCTACATATAAAACTATCCAAACTCCAATTTTCGCAGAAGTAATGAGCAGGGATAGATTTAGACAGATATGGTATGCGTGGAATTTCTCTAATAATGATGACAAAGATGACAGAGATCGCCTGAAAAAATCCTACCGATTATATGTTACTTCTTACCTAAATTTCAAGAGGTTTATAAGCCAGAGAGAGAGTTATCACTGGATGAGAGCATCATGCCATAGAGGGGCCGTTTGTCATTTAAAGTTTATAATGCATCAAAAATTATAAAGTATGGTTTACTTATAAGAATGGTGTGTGAAGCTAAAATGGGATACATTTGTAATTTTCGCATGTACTGTGGTGAAGGAAGTCGTTTGCAAGAAACGATTTTAAATCTGCTTGAACCCTATTCCAACTTATGGCATCACATATACATGGACAATTATTACAATAGTGTTGCGACTTGTGAATTACTTTTAACAGAATAGTTTTCGGACTTGTGGCACTATTCAGGTAAACAGAGGCCTTCCCAGTTGTTTGAAAAATCCTAAACTAGCAAGGGGGGAATCTATATTTCGTCGCCGCCAGAATATTTTATTACAATGTTGGCAATCAAAAAGAACAGTCCGAATGATTTCAACTATACATTCAGCTGACATTGCGGAAAGCCATAATATTGACTGGGCAACAAAACAAAGAATTTGGAAGCCAATATGCGTAATTGATTATAATAAATACATGAAAGGTGTTGATCGCGCTGACCAATACTTATCGTATTACTCGATTGTGCGTCATACAAAAAAATGGACGAAGCGAGCTGTAATGTTTTTTATCAATTTTACGTTATTTAATGTGTTTAGAGTTTTTAAAGCATTAAATCCACATTCAAAAAAAAAAGTATAAGATGTTTTTACATGATGTTGCAAAGGAATGGATTAGCGAAGCTCTTCCTAGCAATACAGATGATCCTGTACAAGGTGCATCCGCTACGTCCAGCAGAAGTGATCCTCCATGGAGGTTATCAAAAAATCCCAAAAGGCATAAATTGGTTAAAATTACCACTGGTGGAACAAAATTGAAACCTCAAAGACAGTGTCGCGTATGTGCCACACATAAGAAAAAAAGTTTAACATGTTATATGTGTGAATTTTGTAAAGTTTCGCTGCATCGGGGAGATTGTTTCTTCAAATATCACACTCAAGAAAAATATTAGGAACTAGCATTGACTACACCAAACTTTATAAACTAGTATATTGTCCTGTACATATATATCCTATAAAATAAACAGCTAACGGCGATATAGTACATATATATTGTATATATATTTGTAACTATTTAAGGATTTAAATAAACTGTATATTTGCTTGCATACTTTTTTTTACATATGGGAGAAAGTGCAAAATTGACCACTGCTTGGCATGCTTTTAAGAATTGCACGTACTTGGTATCCATGTACACATCGACCTATTTTCACTTAAAAAAACATCAGAGAATTGCACAAACTAG